GATGTTATTATTAAAAGTATATTTATATGATTTTATATTTTTTTTCCTCATGTTTTCATAGGTTAAATAAAGGAAAAGAAATTCAAAATCTGAATCAATATTCATTTAAACAATTTAGATTTAATTGGGCCCGCGGACTTATCCGTTTATCCGTGGGCTTCACGGGCCGGATACGGACTTGAAGATTTAAGTCCATTTATTTCGCGGACCGGATTTATCCGGCCCGTTAAAAATGCGGACTTCGCGGACCGGGCCTTAAACGGGCCGGACCGGTCCGCATACCCACCCCTACCTGTACCCGCCTCGCCCCGTTACCATCCCTGCATACAACTATTACTACATTCCATCGTTTAACAACTTACAACAGTTTAAACATCAATCTACATCATCTGGTATCAATGTATAAAGCATTAGAATCATACACCAACTTATATGATGTGAGCAATTCAATCTATTAACAAAGGTTCAATACTTAATAAAACAAGTTTTTCATCAAGTACCTCACACTCATTGTCATTCTTCCCACGTATGGTGTGATTGAGGCAAAGAACCCTCATGTTAATGATGTCTAATGTAGCAAACCATATGTTCAACCCCATTTTAGGTGTCTGACTCACGCCCAACGTCACTATACTGGCGCTCAATATCATCAAGTCTGAGAGCTCCAAAGGCACTCATGCCCGGTGCCATTCAATCCACATTCAACATGACCAAGTCAAAGAGTTCTCCTCTAGCTCATACCTGACGCTACCAATCTCATGTTTGACGTTAGTGGGGTAAAGAGCATTTGACCTGTATTACGTTTGGTGTCTTAAAGTTGCACTTGACGCAATGATAAATTTTATACTTGACAAATTCACAAATTTGTCTTCCTTCACATAAAAACTATAAATTTTCCAATATGCATAACATATATTGCAACCATACACCATAAGCAGTTCATCCCCAACCAAAATAGCCACATGCAACCAAGAATTGACTTCAAGATCGTCATCTCATATTCAACATATTCAAGAACTCCAAAAACTAAAAAAAAACCAAGAATTTCACTTCTCAATTATCATCGCAACCACAATATCAACGAAAAACAAGTAGTGTGCAACTTAACAATTCATCCAGAATCAAGTTATAGCTTCCTTTACTCGAGGATTGACTAGGAAGAGGTAGAAGGAAGCAAAACCTTATATACTTTTTCATATTAGTTGACTTAACCTCAACTCATAACAACTAAAAACTCTTAAAGATTCCTAAATTCCTAAAATTCTTCAATAATTAAACAATAAACCATAACATATAATTTATTAAAATAATAATATTTCACAAAATATGCAATATTACAAAAGTATTATAAAAAAATCAAAAGAAAAAATAAAAATATTTTAGAGGGAAAAAATAGTATAAAAAATTAGAAACAAAGTTAAAATGGTGCAACTTAAAAATTGAATTAAACAATAATACAGAAATATTTTTATGCTAGAAGAATACAAAATAAAACAACAAAAATAATATTAAATTACAAAATAAGACAAGACTAAATCTTATTTTAAAAAAAGTATTTTTTTAAAGTTATTCACGTCTTTGTCAATTCACATGGCTTTTCAATATTGAGTATTTAATTTTATTTATTATTTATAATGCTTATTCCTTTTAAATATTGTATCGGATAGGATAGCATCAATGTGTCTAATTTCCAGCATGTACAAATATTATTTGTTAAATTTAATTTCAATTTTAACTAAAAAATTTTCCCATGGACTAACCAAATAATTCTATTTAAGTAAAATTAAAATAAATAGAATAATTGTTTTTCCAACATCATTATTATATAAAAATAAAATAGGATAATTTTTTTCTTCAAAAATATTTTCAGAAAAGTTTACCAAATATGGCCCTCAATATAGATTTGTGAGATAAACTATTTATTAAAAATAAAAATAAAGTTAAATACCCAATAGAAGAAGAATTGCATCATTTAATATAAAAAATCTATGACAAGTTTATAAAACAAAAATGTCAAAGTTATAATTTATCTTTTTGAATATAATTTTAACAATATTCCTTTTTATTGCAAATTTTGAATCATATCACCTCTCTTTTTTTTTTTTTTATCTTTTAAAGAATAACAACATTTTCTAGTCATTCAACACCTTTTTGCTTCTACATAAAATTAGTAAGTCAAAGATGTTGGATTACATATTGCTAGTATCATTACATATATCATGTTATTTTATTACTCTAATTTGTTTCTAAACAATTATATGCACTTAACTATAATAATTTAATGGATTATCATAATTATTTGTTAATATTTTAACAATTGCATGACAAGTAGAACATGAAAAAAAAAATGTCATACACAAACTTAAGAGGTTCACTATCAATATCAACTATAAAATAGCATAGATTGTATCTTTACATTTCATACACAGGCAAGATTGCTACGATTTTTATTTTTTTTTTCCTTTAAAGGATGTTGACAAGTATTTTATATATTTTCAGAATCAAATATTTTGGTTATTCTCGATTAACAATTTAAAGACTTTAAGTTTGAAAACATGTAAAATTAAAGCATTGACATTCACAAATGTAGAGGAACCTAACATATCTAAAATGTATTGTAGTTCATTTTTACTTCATAAATTATTTCTTATGAGTGTGTTGTTGCTCTTACTTATTTATCAAAGTTAGATTACTAAAATTTATATTTTACTCTATTTATTATAAATAATTTTTTTAGTCCTCACTTTTATATACAATATATTAAAAGGATATATATATATATATATATAATTTATAATTATTAAATTAAATATATATTATTGTATAAGCAGATATCTCACTCGTATATAAGCACGAATACGGTACTAGTTTTTTTAAATAAAAAAAATAGTTGTTGATTGGGAATTTAGAACTTGTAAAAGGAATAACCTTTGAATTCGGAACGTAGATTGTAGAGCTTCTTAAAGAGAGAAATAGGTGAGATTTTAGAACATATAAAAAACGAAAGGATGCTAAAAGGTCCTACCGGGAGTCGAACCCAGGTCGCTGGATTCAAAGTCCAGAGTGCTAACCACTACACCATAGAACCGATTTTGCCTTTCCTCAACAATAGATAAATAATCTCTAAAATCAAATGAACGCCATCACTCTAACTACTTTATTTAATCATTTTCTTCCTTATGATGTACTGAATTCTCCATTTAAAGGAGAATGGATGTTTAGGATTTAATTTTTTGAAAGGAATAAAAATGTAAAATAACAAATTGTTGGTCCCCTTAAAATTAAAAGTATGGAAGGTACAACAACCAATTTGCCTCCAAAGGGTAAACTTAAAAATTAACTAATCTGTGGAATTAACATAAAAAAACTAATTAGTGGAATTTAAAAATGAAATAAATTAAAGTAATTGACATTAATTTACATTTAAATTTATTTAGTTACATATTAATAACTACTTTTACATATTAAGTAAGTCGAACAAAATGTATTAATGAATTTACAATGACTACTATTTTCTATGTACATTTACCTTAGAAATAAATAGAAATACAAGTATACTATAAAAAAAAAAACTAAATAGAAATGGAGAGAGTAATTTGAATTTGTATTTTTAATTTAAATATTTGTCTTTACTCATATAATAGAAGATATTAATATATTTTAATTATTACTATTTATTTATGCATATTTGATATTAATTTAAATCTGATTATTAAAAGTAAATATTTGTTTTTACATATAAAATAATCATTTCATTCTTATTCTTTGTTTTCGCCACATCTTGTACCTTGAAAAACCACCATAATCCTCTAAAGAAAAGAAAAAGGTCGAAGACGCATCTGCCTCAAGTCACAAATGAGATTTTCTTTCTAAATCTGCAATTCAGTATTTTTAATCTTAACTTTGTTTATAAATTCTTTTGTTTATTTATGTGACGGTCATACGGGTAAATAAAGAGGTCATTTGCTTTAAAGTTTGATGCTGAATTTGGGGCAGTTGGATTTTGCTTGACACTACGGGGAACGAATGGACACACTATTTGACTGTTTCGTTCAAGTCGTCGGAGAAACTTTTTGTAATAGATGATTGGTCTATTTTTACAAGTTTTATAGAATAATTTTAAAAAGTAAATTTGCTATAGAAATTAGGATAGTTCTATTCGGAGCATAAAAATTATTACCAAAGGAAAAACCTCTTCATCTTTGCTCAATTTTCATATTATATAATAATAGTTATTTTTTATGTTATCAAATCAAATCTATCTTTATCTTATATTTTTATAAAATCATTTATCATGACATATATGATTTTTTCTAGTCTATTTAGATCGATATTTTTAATGATAAATATATTATTTTATGATTTCATCAATCAAGTATATAAAATCGAGATTGAAATAGTCTATTTAGAGTAGGTCGACCCTAAGTCTAGTAAGATACACTTTAAATTGATATTCTTAGTTATAACTCTATCTTCTTATGGTCTAGTAGACTAAGTTGAGACTAAATTTTATCAATTCATAAATAATTTATAAAACATGAATTAAATCGATGTAGATTTGTCATAAGCTTATGACACTCTAAAAAAAAAAATTTAGATTTATGGTGTTCAACCAAGTGTTAAAATAATATTATTCTAGACAAATTAATCCTTAATTATCACTTTAAATTCTTTTCATATCAGCTTAAAAAAACCAAAAATCTACACAATTGTCCCCTCTTTCATTACGGTAAACTTGTCCCGTTACAAACCGAGAGTCAAAATAACAAGTGCGCATATTATTTATCTAAGATCCATAGAAAACATGTTTGAAACAAGGTTTTTTTTTTTTTTTGCAATTAGTATATTTTTTTATGCCAAAAAAGTTTGATGCACAATCTGAATATTACAAACTTTGTAAAGCGCATAAATCCATTGGCAGAGATATGTTCCACAGAATCACAGGCAATCGAGTAGGAAAAAATTAAAAGAGGGAAAGGGTGGGAGAATTCAGATGTGAATAGAATAATAAAAGAGAGGCAGAGAGCAACTATTCATAGCAGGCACTCAACAAGCACATGTTGAAACAGACAAAAGACAGGGTGGTCCAATTCCTCAAACTTTTCCTATCATTGTATCCCTATACGTCTGCTAGCAATAAGCATAATGGTATAATCTGAAGGATAGGTTGTATGTAGATGAAAAACCCAAGTTCCACGTGAATCAAATATAAAGTATATAATTTCATACAACTCTCACTTTATAAATTTGTTCTAGGGTTAAATTATACTGAAATCCAAACATAGACATATGTGGAGGAGAAAATAGCATGACTACCTTGGATAACACCCCTTCATCCTTAAATTTGGGCTAAGTGTACGTTTGATTTGTTTTTCAAGACATAGCATGTGGTTTGTTGCTTTAGGTAGTGGGTAGAGCCTGAGTGTCCTTTACAAAGGAAGAGTTGAACTCTGGCTCCTAGAGTGTGTGGAGAACAAAAATTTGCTGTTATGCGAAAAGGACCTTCTCATTGACATGGTCCTCTTGTGCAACGCAAGTCCAGTTGAAGCCACCTTGTTAAGCGCCGAAGAAGTCGAAGTCTCACTACCACGCTTGCCAACACTCGCTTTTCCACCATCTAAATGGACCGCCACGTCACCCAACAACAGCACTGAAGAAGAATCCACGGAAACAGTCCTCCTCAGAGGCTGCGTTGCCTCTTCTAAACCCGAACAATTTGGCAACAACAAGAGCAAATCTTTACCAGTAGAAGATACATCCACACGAGGACCATGTCCATGCTGAACCCTCACTTCACTGCTCTCCTCATCAGAATTCTCCACGTGGAGCTCTTGATCACCCGAAACAGAAACGCTTGTATCCGTTTGATGATGGAGCACGGGTGCACGGCAGAGGGGACAGTTTTTGTGTGAGGTGAGCCACGTGTCAATGCAAGGGATGTGGAAGGCGTGGCTGCACTTGGGCAACAACCTAAGACTCTGGTCGTGTTGGAATTCCCCGAGGCAAACGGAACAGTCGGTGGCGTCTATTATTCCGTCTTCTTTCCGGTATCTGAAGACGGTGATGGAATCTATGAGCGATTGTTGGAGGCCCACGGTGCGGATGTACCATATGGGGTGGACTACCGTTAAATCTTCATGGTCGTTATCCGAAGCGTTGGAATCTCCGTTAACGTCGAAGAGTATTGGGGCATCTGCGTCTCTTCTGTTGCGGTTGCGGTTGCTGCTATATCTCCAACTCCGAGAGGTGAATAACCTTATGAGAAGGGAGGCGGTGCAGAGGATCATGACGAGGCCTACCATGCACGCCATGACCACCATGGCCATGTGAAGGGCATGGCGGTGGTGTTCTTGGAGGGGTACCGCATGTTGTGAGACTACTCCGGTTAGGTTGTGTTGAGGAGGAGGACCCATTATGCTCTCTGCGCAAACTGTTGCATTGGTTTTGGCATCACTATATCTATATGAGAATTTGAGGCATGTTTCATGGCACCATTTCCTTTTCCATTGACTAGAGAATTTGCTTCGTGCTTTCTTTCCATGCTACCTTCCAAGTCAATCCACTTTTTTATGGCTTTCCGCGTTAACTTTAATTGTGGTGGGGCGTTACCACATTCTTAAAATCTAATCTAAACAACTCTTTTCGGATACAAATACCACTTCTTCTTTTTTTTTTTTTTGGAAACTAATTTTGCCTGGTCACTATTAGTAAGACTTTTGCTTTCGTTTCATACGCAATACATCAACGAAGGGTCTAAATCGAAGTGCTAATAACTTGTTGGTTAATTTAATAGGATTGTTAAACCCCTTCTCACGAATTAGTCTTTGTAGAAGATTAAGTGTACTTTTCCATCATAACTTCAATGATCAAAATCACAATAATAACAACTTGCTATTGTTATGGCTTATCGTTAATAGTGACTATTTTATTTATGATTTTAAATAAATAATTTAATTTCAATTATTTATTTAAATTCAAAATTTGAGATTAATCATTCTCACTATCGTATAAAAATATAAAAATGTCATTCTCATAACCATATCCTTATCCAATGATATGTTATAAGTTTTTCTTTAATTATATTATTCTTATAAAATATTTACCAACTTTGTCAATAATAATTTCTATTTGTAAGTCAGATTTCTCTTCTTAATTTATTTTTGTTACATAATACTCTCAAATCCAAAACTCTTATAAAAACATTTTAGTCCAATTTCACTTAAACTATTGACTTATTGATAATTACATATTACAAGTTTTATAAAAAAATAACATGTTACAAGTTTATTAATTTTAATAAATAATGTCTTAACATTTATAGAAGTAAAATGATATCTTTAGACACGATTTTATATTTAAAACAAAATTTAAATTTCAGTTTTTATTAAAGAATACAAGTATTAAACTATTTTAATTAATAATTTTTATTAAAAAATTAAAGGGCAATGTTTTACTCGATATATAGATTAAATAAAAGAGAAATTAAAAAAAATTGAAAGATAAAATTAATAACTTAAATATATGTTTTTGCGGGGCATACATGCTTTTTATGGATATTAATTAATTTTCTTTCATCCACCGCCACCGGCCGCTTAAAATATCGTGGACACTTTATGTGCCAACCAGGTATTCTCTAAACAAAAAATATTTTCTGTCTCTGAAATAAAGTATCAGTTAAATGAGGGATAATATAAAATTTTTACATTCTTATTATATAAAATAAATATAGAATTTAATTAATAATTATCATTTTTCACTCAATTCATTGGAGAAAAATAAATGTTAATTTTTCATCAATATCTTTACATATTTTTTGATTATGTCAAATGTCATACCCTTTTAAGTAGTTTATTTTTATATGTTAAATTAAAAGGTATTTTCTTAAAGCTAGTGTATTTCTTAGTTTATTTAAGTTTAAAATAAAAATATTATTCTCCGTGTTTATTCTTTTTAAATTTTAATGTAAAGTTGTTTCAAGTAAATGTATGTATTACATATAATTTTTTAATATTTTATTAATTTAAAATTTTATTCAAATTTAAAAATACATAATAATATTCACTGATTATGGTTGATTAATAGACTCTCGTGACTCGCATAACTCCTTCGTTATTACGGTTACATCATTAGCATTATCCGCTTTAAATCTTTTATTTATAATTTTGGCTTCTAATTTTTAAAATTACATAATTTTTTATGGAAAAAAATTAGTATCATTCTATACTTTTATTTTATTTATATTTTAAAATATTTATTTTAATCTTTTATATCTTAAATTTGGTATGATTTGATTCTTTTAAAATAATTATTATTTTCATTTTTATGATATAATTTTGAACTAACTTTTAATTCATTTGAAATTTGTAACATTAAATTCAAAATTATAAAAATTAATTAATGTTTGAATTTAAAAGGTTATAAAAAAAAAGTAAAAATCACGTAAAAAATATATCTCACGAATAACTAAAAAATAACATGAAATTATATATATATATATATATATATATATATTTTTTTTTTTTTTTTTCTTTGACTGCTTTATACACTTATTTTTATATGATTTTTATCATATTTATAATACTTTTGTATTTAAACCTTAGCTATATTAAATTTTTTTCACATAAATAAATTTAATAAGACGAGTTTCAAGCATTAAATTAGTTAAAAAATATTCAAAATTAATAATAATTATTTCAAGATCGTCAATTTAATCCAAATACAAAAAAAGTCAAAATAAACATTTTAACATATAAAAGATGAAAATGAATCTAAAAAGTAAGATTAAAAACTAAAAGTATAATTTAATCTTAAAAAAAAGACACTTAAAATATGAAATCTCAAAATTCTTGAATTCTCACATTTTATTTAATAAATTTTTCATAAAAAATTTAATTAATAAAAAATGTGTTAGAAAGTTATTGGCAATTTGGGAGCATTCCTCCAACAAAAACATTTGGTAAACATATAAACAAGTTTGCATGTCATAGCCGTAATCAAATAACAGCAACATTTTCTGTTGATAAGATGTTTGTTATATTTTCTGTAAAAAATTTACCTAAAATTGAACTACTCATACGAGATATATATACCATCCTCAGAGAGCAATTGACCATTATTTCATTTTTTTTGGTCATAACTCGTAACGCTGTATTCATATGATTGTTGAAATCCATACCAATCAAACGTGTCCAGTTAGTGGCGTCAAAAGAGGAACTTTTCCAGCAATTGTTAAGCCATAACCTTTGTGCCCATCGTACTCAGCAGGATATTTTATCATTAACCTTATTGTATGAATCCCTAGATCTCGTAGTATCTGTCATAGATGTATCATTCAATTAGTTGAAAATAATGTGTATGCAGCCAAAATGAAACAGTAGTTAAATTACGATGAAACATTTTCCAATGGGCATAAGCGAAAATAAATTAATTGTTACGGACAACATGACAGTTTAAATGGATAAATAGACACTAACATATACGTAGTATTTCTTTTGATTTCCAATGTTCTAGATGAAATGGTTAGAAATGAACTTGAAGTCAGATAATAGGACAAGATATATTAATTTTTTCGAGATATTTTTTTCTTGATTAATTAGGAAAAACTTAAGACAACTAAAGATGGCACAAATGAATCCCAGAATTTAAGGCCTTAGTAAAATTCTTATAAAATTAATAAGGAGGTCGAAGTTTTAAGTTTGAGCGTTTGAAATTCAAAATGCAGTTATCAGACGTTCAGCAGTAATTGAATGACAGACATCATGAATCATGATCTTAATCTAAATATATACCTATACATCTCAGGTTCTGAGATTGGTCAAGTATATCTTCCATACTGATAGTTTTCAATAAAGGTTTATTTTCTTTATTCATTGCAAATTTCATATTTTCATCAGATAATCATGAAAGTTGCCCGCTTTTATTTATTTGCATTCTTTAAGCTAATCATTTGTCACTCTTTAGCTTTTACTTTCTAGCATAATTGCCTGTTTGCAATACATTTTTATTCACTTTGTTATTTAATTTTTAAACTTTGATGGAAACTTTCCAATGTGTATTGAATAATAATCTCTAGATATAGTTAATAGATAACTAAAATGTACCTGTGCTTCAATACCGTACTCACTAGAAACACCCTCGTACTTGTCATCTTCCAAGTGATAAGAAGGGACCATGTGGCCTAAGCCGATACCTCTACCTTCATGTCCTCGGAGATACAGTAAGACACCCCTGCCTTCTACTTCAATTTGCTTCAATGCAACTGCTAACTGATTTCCACATTCACACGTTGTTGCCCCAAAAATGTCACCAACCACACATTCTGAATGTACTCTCACAAGTACGTCATGCCCATCACCTATCTCACCCTATTAAGTGTTGATATCAAAAGCATGTCATAGTCACTAACACAAGAACAATAGTCAAATTTCACCCTTGCCCCAGAAATGAACGTAATCAAAAAATTGGACTGATTTTTATTCAAGGCTTGCAGTACATTGATTGCAAAATTCCTCCACTGATTTTGTCGTATCTCTAATTCAACAAAAAAACGACTAACCAAGGATTATTATATCTCGCCAACAACGAGCCAATAAATCAAATTATAGAAAATTGCAATTTGACAGTTGCAGCAGCTCAAGATCCTGTTAAGCATATACAATTATTGGTAAATCAAGCACAACCTAACAAAGAACGAGACTTGGTGATTACAAAATAACTTAATCTGACCGACTAGGATTGACCTTGTAATGAGGGTTAGGATAGTATGCATAAAATCCTTGGTTTATACCTTATTTCTGCAGTTGTAAACCAAAATTAAGGTTAAACTGCAGAATTTTCCGACCAGTTTATTTTAAACTTTGTTTACCCAAGTTCAGTGTTGAATATTTATATGGACAAAACTTAGGTGCAGTATAGTGTTACTGAGGTAAGACTCTTGCTCATTGAAAACAGCAATACCAGTACTTATAGGATTGTATGAGTTTTTTTCCTATTTATATACCTAGTAAAAATTAAGACAGGTTTCATATGAGAACTCAAGTTTAGTTGAGCTGCTTACTTTAACCATCGCAATATGCTCAATCCCATCCAGACATGACCGATAACAATAAGCTTTGAAATGTCCCCACATGGTGGGTATCAGTGCAGCTGAAGCACACTCTACAAACTTCTCTCTCTTTCTTCTGTATCTGCTAGTTCAGACCATGCAAATATTAGAGATGCACCTATTAAAATTCTTAACTCAAGCTTCCTTATGATAATTTGAGGTGGCATATTTTCAAAATTCTAAATTTGGGCCTATCCAAACTGCAATTTGACCGGTGAGACTCTAAACATTGGAACAAGTTTCTGTCAAAACTAGGAAATGTCTGCAGGCCTACACTTTGATCAGTAGCTACTATTAGATTGTTATTCTATGAAAAATCTGGTGATCATAATTACCATTTACCAGGTACAAGTACGTGATTCATCACCTTTTACATTATTATTACCAAATTTCCTTTAAAAAGAAGCCTGTATGTGACACATGAATTATCGCAAGAAGTTAGAATTCTGTAACTAGGCTGGTGATTTCTTAAAAATTACCTTATTAAATCAGCAATGGATATGATTTTGAAGTTTTCTTGCATTGCAATTTGTCGAAGCTTTGGTAACCTGGCCATTGAACCATCATCATCTACTATCTCACATAAAACTGCAGCAGGTTCCAGGCCAGCCAACAAAGCAAGATCAAGTGAAGCTTCTGTGTGTCCAGGTCTTTTAAGAACCCCTCCTTCTCTATACTTGAGGGGAAATATATGACCTGGGCGATTGAAATCATCAGGCCTCGAACTTCTTGATGCAAGTTTGAGGATTGTTGTTGCTCTATCTTGAGCAGACACTCCTGTTGTAGTGCCTTGCTTTGCATCCTATAATATAATATGCAATCATTTTGGTATCGAATAAGAAATCAAATCAATATTATGTGCTTAATGATCATTATCCCATTTTCTCAATCAAGAATGAAAAGCCTATGTACCACTGTCACTGTGAATGCAGTGCAAAGGTTTTCTCCATTATTCTCCTGTGTCACCATCAATGGGAGTTGCAACCTCTCTAAATCTTCTTCTTTCATGCTTACACACACTATCCCAGTTCCATACTTGACAATAAATGCAATTGCTTCTGGCGTTACCATTGATGCTGCCATTATTAGATCCCCCTCGTTTTCTCTATCTTCATCATCTACGGCAATAACTAACTGCAAAATTTATCCCAAATAAGTAATTTTTTTAACACCCTTGATGGATAAAGAATTGTTCAACAAAACAACAGATTAATTATTAACCTTTCCCTGACGAATATCTTCAATGGCCTCTGGGATAGAAGAAAACCCTTGTGTAGGACAATCCAGATCATGTTCATTTGTATCAGCAAAGAAGCCATTGATTGTAGGATTTATCTCTGGAGAGACTCTTCCAAAAGAAAATGTGTCCAGTTTCTCTCTAATTCTATCTGGTTCTTCTACCAAGCTGTCAATTATGACATCTTGTCTTGGACTGTTATTGTTAGGATGAGATAGCAGATCTCCTTCTCCAGATACTAAAGCCCTCACGCTATCAACCTTAAAACTAAATTTCACTTTTCTAATGGGACTAGCCCACATGAAATCAGATTTATACCCGTTTGAATTGAGTGGGGGCACGCCAATTACAGGACACTGCCTTCTAAAACAGAAGCAACCATCCAATTAGACAAGTGGAACCAGAAGAACAAAGTAACAACAATACTTAGAAGACATTAGAATGAATAAATTTGCCATAAGCGATAAGCACAATGCATGCATATAGGATACTTCATACTTGGCTGAAAATCTTCTACAAGTGAGTCTAATACAAGTATATAACACCAAATTAATCTCTTACTATTAAGTAATAATGTTTGACTAATGAAAGTCACATCTCACAAATACAGATTCATTCTTGATAGTCAACTTTGGGATACTATATGGACCATATTCATGGGCCAGAAAAAATGACCAAATTTACAAAGAACAGCGATTATCACTTGTAAGTTGCAAAGTTACTTCTACTACAAGTTAATTCGTCTAGCCAAGCCTTCACATAAGATATCTTTCATCTCATATAGAAGCCTCCTGGTGTTGCCTACCTCTAACTTGGGAACTTGTGCATTGAAATGCATTCCCTCACTCTGCTGTATTGGAAAATCACAATCTTACCTATCTACCTTCATTCTGCATAACTACAGATACATCCTAAACCTGATTCTTGTACTAAACAAATGGAAAAAAATATTACAAGCCAGCATTTAAACAACTAATTAGAAGTGCATGCAAATAAATGTCCTAGAATATGATAGTGTCACTTTATAAAAAGAAAAGAAAACTCGATGCCTTATTCATTTTACATGCAAACATTGACGTTACTAATGTTTCAATGAAACGCAAGGAATCTCCATTATTTAGATTACACAAAAAACTGTCAAAAAGTTCCAGGACTTGACACGATCCGAATATTCAAAATATTTGCCACGGATTTGAAATTTGCAGACATTATTTTGCACTTGTGTGTTGTTTCAGACTCGTTCTTACTCTCTAATTGTACATAGATTAATATAGGACTTGTAATCCATATATATGATTCGCTTTTATATGAATCCCTCCCAATGTTTCCCATGAACGACACTATAGGCATGATAAAGCCATGCAGGGCACGTCCTACATTAATCTATGGAAAGAAAATATAAATACAGAAAGATAAAAGAAATTTAATGGCAATTAATGAGAGGCTGAAAACTCACTTGGAAAATGTGCGCAGGGAAATGGAAGAACAATGAAAATTGATGAAAGCCATTCAGTGTGTGATAGATACGAACAAACGTATGTAAGATAAGAAGATCGAACACCACACCATGAGACTGCAGCTGCAGCATATGGTTCCAAGATTTGTTATATATATTGGTAGCTCCGATGACGTGGCACTTGTCTCTTCATGACCATGTACAAATCCAATTCCTTTGTCTCTTTCTTATATAGCTTTTACTTGCTTTCCAGGGGAATTTCTTACGTGACCTATGGTAACCAGGAATGTGAAAATAATGTACACAATTTGCTTCAGTAACAAAGACTTTTACGGGATTAATGGCTACCATTGAATTTTTTAAACACAAGAGGCACACATTTGAGATCTTATTTACGGTACATTAAATTTATTATTAGTGATAATTATTTAATAATAATAAATTAATTTTTTATTTTTTATCTAATAAAAATATTAATGACTAATATATAATAGTCATTAAAAATGTATTTACATTACACTAAAATTTACTATTGATGATAATTATTTATTGAAAAAAATTTAAGTTTTGCATTGACTATAAATAAGATAATTAAAAAATATATAAGTAGATGATAACTCTTATCTTACAAGTTAGTTTTGTAATATTGAATTAGACTCATAATTTACTATTCTAAAGAAAAATTTGAGGACAACCCTCATCTTATAAGTCTCATGTCGACTAAAGGTATAAAATAATTAAAGATTAAAAAATCAATTCTTAAACTTTTAGTGACAATAACAAAAAAATATTAAATGTCAATAAAAAATATCACAAAAGTTTATACATTAACTTTTAATGGCAATAACAAAAAAATATTAAATGTCACTATTTCAGTAAAAATGTCATAAAAACTTATACATTTTTCTTGATCATTATAAGAGTCATTATCGACATGCAGAATAATTATCGGTAAATATTTGAGTGGTTCTATGATAACTAATGTGAAAATGCTTATAAAAGACTTTATAGGTATTTTTATTACTACTAAAAATAATATTAAATAGTACTAAATGTTTATTTTGTTATAGTGTAAATGAAAATCAAGCATAAACTATTAGAATCAATTCTTTTTGTTTTTTTTTTTTGTTCTCACATTCGAACCTTAGCTCAGATGTTAGTCATTTATGATCTTTAAGGATTGATATTAAATTTTTACATTACCGTCTGATTAAAGACAAATTTATGTGTTTACTTAATAATATATCTTATAATATTTTTGTATTATACTACTTTAAATACTTGCCATCAAAATTGGTTATATATACTTGCTAAAATAGTAGATAGTGCAAAAGCTATTTTAGTCACTCTAAATAACAGAGAAAATACATTTCAAAATGACTTTGTGTGATTTAGTAAGGTTTCATTTCTAATGAAATATTTCATTCATAGAGTATGGTTTATCTTTTGTCCTTTTAGCCAGATATTTGAAATAATTTAAATGCTACAACCAATACAAAAATATTGTACACTCCCATTGTAGTTGAACGAATTTCATAATTAATTCAACAAGCCTTTCAAATATCTCAAGTAATACTAGCAATTCTTGGCTCAAATTGTTACTACTAAAATTGAAGTGAAAATAGATTTGAAAGATCTTAAATATTTACCTTAACTTTTGAAGAAATTAGGTGTATAAATTAATTTTAATTTATATAAAATGCTGGCTTTATTTTTTTATTTTCTATTGAATTGATATGGTTTTTTTTAGCAACCCAAGTGAGGCACGTGGCTCCATGTGAGTCCTCTAGTAAAAAAGATAAAATTGTTTCCCAGTCAAAGTGGTGAAAAGCAATGTGATTTCGAAAAGGGCAACCAGGTTAGATAGCATTTGTTTCCGATACCAAATCATTTTCGTTACATTCCTTTTTATCTTTCCTCAATGCCAATTCTAAATGCATTCAAGTTTCCTTGCTACAAGTTTAGAACATTTCCAATTTAGCATTCTCTTTGAATCACACAAGCCAATGCTTTAGTACAAATGCATAACTTGCTATCCCTCCCTCGTCTTCAGGATAGCGTTAATTAACCTGTGCCAGAGTAATGTTTGTAATTTTCTCTTGATTTCAAGCTCTTCACACCAAGGTTTGGGTCATTCAAATGTCGACCTTAAAGTGCTCTTCGCACCAAGGTTCGTGCCGACCTTAAAGTGCTTTTCGCACCAAGGTCGCCGGAATCTAATAGGCAGGCAGAAACACCGAAATCGCCGAGTTTAACGGTGCCGCGCGAATCAATGAGAATGTTACCGGCTTTGACGTCACAGTGGATGTGTCCGTGATGGTGAAGATACTCCAAACCCTTCAATACCTCTTTGAGAATGGTTGCAATGACAACCTCTTCAAAACCATCGGGATGCGCGACTTTCAATATGTGGAGGCATGAACCGCCGGCCATGAACGGCATAACCACCCAAAGATTGTGCTCGGCGACGAAGGAG